CCAGTGTTTCTGAAAGGCCCAGTGGTAACTAAAGTCTACTGTCTGTTTCAGAAACAGGAGTATCTGTGTTTGAACAGCAGCTCAGGGTCGGGCGGCTTTTGGGCCCAGCTGAGCTGAGATCAAAGACCAACAGATACAGTGTGGAAAAATGAGACAGCAGATCAGTTAATAATAAACAAAACCCCAGGAAGAAGAAGACAGACAGAGGGGGGAAAGTGAATATGTTTAGAACATCCAACATGGAAAGCTTTAAATGATTCTCTTTCATGGAGTTTTAGAGCCACTCTTGGGATAGAGTCTTTTGAATTAAGATTAAAGGCCTGATTTATCAAAAAAGGCATATTATAGGAGCATTAATTTCTGTTTGATAAAGCTGACAATTAATATTCCAAATGTGACTATATGATAAAGTTTTCCTTTTTGGTTAGTTTTGGTGATGTTTTTAAATAAGTTATGATGGCTGGGAATTTTGCTGATGTCTTTGCTGAGGCATTCTCTATCTGGATACCTCAAGGACCCGACAGGCTTTCAGGCTGCTTATTATCTAATTTGAAAGATAGTAAAGAAAGTAAAGATAGTAAAGAACTTTACTATGCGTTTCCTTATCTGGACCACGGAGTAGATAAAAATGGTTATATAAAAATGTGAAAGGTTGCACGCAGAACTGGATGGCTATCACTGCTTTAGCACAGGCTCGTTTTTCTTGTTGTGATATAAAGTGTTTTAAAAGTCTTGAGCCACCCCTCATTTCTTAATACTTTGCTAGAGAAATGGAAAATAGCTGCAGAGATTTATTGAAAGATGTGTGTTTCAATCTCCATCCATCCATCCGCTTCCGCTTATCCTTTTCAGGGTCGCGGAGCTGGAGCCTATCCCAGCTGTCATAGGGCGAGAGGCGGGGTACACCCTGGACAGGTCGCCAGTCTGTCGCAGGGCTAACACACAGGGACAGACAACCATATAACAATTCACACTCACATTCACAGCTAGTGACAATTTGGATTATCCAATGAACCTATCCCCACAAGCTGCATGTCTTTGGACTGTGAGAGGAAGCCAGACTACCTGTGGAGGACCCACGCAAACAACATGCAAACTCCACACAGAAAGACCCCGGCCAGGAATTGAACTCAGGACCTTCTTACTGTGCGGCAACAGTGCTAACCACCGTGCCACCGTGCTGCCCACCGTGCTGTGTTTCAATCTCGTGGAATGGAAATACAGTATATAAGGCAATGCAGTTCTAACACGCTTGATATTTGACTATTATTTTTTAACACACACACTCCCTGAACTCTTTTAGGTAAGCTTTCTTGTAAATTTTTTAAATACTTTCAAGGAATATTTCTCAAGGCTTGGAAGACATTCAAATGAGCAGTTATGCTAACACAAGATTATATAACAAAAAAATCAATACTACTCACAAATATGCTCTCATCAGTTAGTTTAGAGTGGAACTAAATTGTGCCATATTGACAATTTTCATTAGATGTTGGTAGAAAGTTGTTTTCTTTTTTATTTGGACTGAACTAAGCTAGCTGGCCTGTGTAGCGCAGCTTGAAAGGGCAAGGTTAGCTAAACCATTTTTATGCTATGCTAACTGTGCTATGCTAACTTTGGTACAGAAAAGTGTATTTCCTTTCATTTTAATTTTGAGATTTCATCAGCATCTTATTTATATTTATATATATTAAACTGTTATTAATAATAACACTGTAATAAATAAAATAAATAAATAAATTTAAAAAACAGTGTAGGAGGCATGTTTTCTTATTATGGTTTACGGTGAAAATGAAGACACAATAAAACAATACTACCTAATACACTAAACGTTGAGCATAGTTAATACTTGTAGCCACAAATATCTGCAAAAGTAAGGCTTGATCGTTTCATGTAAAACTGCCATTATGTATCAAATTGTTTTAATATTATATTTAATAACAGGTACTAATATTTTGTTATAATGCATAATTTTTTTTTATTATAAGTTAGTGATTCAGCGTTATAGAAGAAAGCAGGAAAAAACGAAACTTTCTTTTTAGCTATTATGGTTTAAAAATAACTGCTTTCCATTCAATATATTATCATTTTTCTCCCAGAGTGGTTCTAATACTCATAACTCGTATCCCACCGATTCCACTGGCAGCAAACAGTAAAAACTCCAGCAGTTTGTATAAGCCTGTATAGAGTTTGGTATGAACAGACAGTTAAGGACCACAGTCAAGTATAGACATATAATACAGATATGTATTATCACACTAAGTAGTAAAAAGACAGGATAAAACTAGAAAAGTAAATTTGGAGTCAAGTGAAAATCTGAAGCAGTGTGTTTTGCTCACCTGTCTGCGTAGCGTACGGCTAAATGTGTGTGTGCGTCTAGACGGTGGGTTTCGTGGTATACTCTCTGAATCTGAGTGGCTGTGTGGGCTGATGGGTCTGAAGAGGTCTGTGGGAACAGTCAGCTGCTGGGAAAACTCCGCGGGTTGTGAACGCACCGAGCCACTGGAGCCTGCACACAAAGCACAGTGCTGGCACCTTCAGTGAATACACAACAGTTACAGTAGGTGTGTTTACCTTAGATAAAATAACCTCCTCATGCCACAATGCTTTATGTTAAAAATCAAGCCCACCCATTTCTGTTCTGTCCTAATGAAACACATTCTACGCTAAATGACATTAAAGAGAAATGCGGCATTACCCGATTGGGCCCTGTGAGTGCCCAGTATGTGCTGGGGCCCCTGTGGGTGTGCTGCAGTGGGAGATGTTTGCCCCATGGGCTGTGGCGAGAGGAACATGTAGCTGTCGTTGGGTAGGGAGTGCGTGCGTCCCACCGCAGGCTTTCTGACGCTCAACAGGTTGTCGTCCCGAAGCGCCCCAGAACCAAGCTGCTCCGCCTGGGGAAGCAGAGAAAACAATCAGGGTCGCCCAGAACAAGAAGAGCCTGGGCTGCTCTTTAACTCACTTACTCTCACACTCTTACCAGTACACTCACAGGTTGTCAACTGTCTAAGACACAATGTCAACAAAGAGGTACTGATCATCAGCATACACAGAAAACACAGAGGATCTTTGCACATTGGAGTTGACTGGCACAGAGCTGCCACAGATCACAGAAACATTTCCAATTCCTTTTTTAAAGCATGTGACACTCTGCTTCTTGTGTCTGCTTTTAGCCCGTCGGTCGTATAACTTTACATTAAGCCGTGATTGTGTGTCAGCTAGGGCAGTGTCCTGCAGCCTGACCCATTAAAGAATCAGTTCCCATTCAGCACAGAGCTACAGGGGGTCCAACACACTTTACAACCCTGTAGCAAACACACGGCAGCTCAGAGGAGACTGAAAAGTACACCACCAGAGGACAGCATACAGCACATCTACAGAAGTAGGCTGACAGGAAAGGACTGCGAGAAAAGACGAAGACTCACACGTAAAGCACAAAGGAAAAGAAAGAAGGAGGGGAGAGAACAGAGTTTACACACAGAGAGAGAAGAAAGTGAAAAAAGTAGTCAAAGGAGAAAAAACTGCAAACTGGCAGGTAAGGAGGCGCACTACTCTACTGGACTGGACTGGACTGGAAAGTAAAACACACCAGGCTGAAAAGGCGGAATGAGAAATAAAGATAAATTTGTTTCACCAGGGTACTTCAAAGCCACTTGAACACCTCTACCTCTTCACTCCATTGTCTTTATTTTTCTATTGCATTTGTCCCAGAACAATCCAATTAAGAGCACCTCGTTGGCCAGCGCTCTTTTTTTTCTGATGATATATGTATTAATTCAGCAGCAACGCTGAGCCAAGGTGACAGTGACCCTCTCTGGTCATGAAGCCATGTGATCATTAATGACCCAAACCGGTGGTTAATAATACTCTGACACCCAGACGACATTCAATTTCATTTTCAGAGCCTGTAGGATGGTGTGTCATAGAGGGATCTATAGCTTAATTGCAGTGAGGACACATACACGGGCTGCAGTGCATGACGACATGTTCAAAGAAAATAATGAACGGGGTCATGACAAAGAATGCCAGGATGTGGAAGATGCCTTTTGCCAAGACCCTTACTCACTGTTATACTTAACACAACGTCTCATTTGTTTAGCAGTTGTCACGCGTCAACTATGGTTTAAGTGACCCATTGTTATTGTATGTGCAAGTGTAAGCTTTCCACATTTTATTTATTTAATTATTTGGAATCAGTTACATAGAAAACAGAAAAAGTTCTCCACTCATATTTCCCATATTAGATCCAATTTTGACAAGTTCAATAAAGTCTCACACGTTCCCAGAATCTGTCTATAAAGTTTAAACTAAAAAAAAAAGATTGGTTGTTTTTTTGCTATGCTTATACATTTTTAATCTCAGCTCCAAATAAGCTGTTTTAGTATCTGTAGCTTTGAAAATGAGCTGCTGCTGGCCACGCCCCATTTCAGAACAGTTTAGGTCCCAATTCATAGGCCGCATCCTTCTGAGGCCGCATTTGAAGGCCGATTACGTCACAGCTAGGCAACAAAGTCTGTCCTAATTTGAAGGCTGCTCCAAATGCGACCGACTAATACGTCCTTCATTTCCCCGAATTTGAGGGATGGGTCGGGTGTGTCCTTCGTGGCCCAAACTATCCCAGAATTCATAGCCCAGCCAATTCCAGTTTCCAACAATGGCGGCAGCTACTTAGTTTTAATATTACTCTTATTACTCTTTCTGGGTCACAAAATAAACTTTTAACATATTTTTAGGCGAGAATGTAGCCGTGTAAACTTCAAATATCTGCTCGGTTTATCAAGACACCGCATATTTGCAAAAGTGCTCCGACGTTTTCTGAGACGTCTGTTACCCACCAGCTCAATAGCTGACTGGGAGGTCGAGGCTCATTAGAGCCGGTGAGAACAACTAACTCCCAGCATATCGCTTTCAGACCCCTGCGGTCTTTTCGCTACTCAGGTTAAACAGGTTAAACACCGATTTACTCAGGAACAAATAAAACACTGAAAAAAGCCAAACAATAACACTTAGATAACTTAAAAATGTTATTGCTTGGGTTTTGTCAGTGTTTTATTTGTTCCTGAGTAAATCGGTTTGGCTGAGATTAAAGTTTTCACACAGCTGAATAAATGTCAAACAGAAAACTGATTAAACAGAAGTGTGAGATGGTCGAGAATTTACTCCAATGTCCTGTTATATATTAGTGAGTGAGGAGCAGACAGCTGAGTTTATTAAACTCCACCGAGACAGCAGTGACGCAAATCTGAAGGCTAGACCGTCCCATTTCACAGCCTCGTATTCTGGCCCTCCTGGTCTTTGAAAGACCTGGCTCATGTAGACCGCGAAGGCCGGGTCCTCCGAAGGATGCGGCCTATGATTGGGACATAGCTTTAGAAGCAGCAACTTTAGCAAAGAAATCCAAATACACAACATGGCCGACTCCAAATAGAATTGTAATGAGCTGCATGCCAAAGAGCTCATTCAGACGTTCTATGAAGAAAGAAAAACAAGTGTGTGGTTTTTACTTATTTTCAAAAATAAGTAATTAGTGGTACATATAAATGCTATCTTCTTTTTTAAAAAATATATATTTTAGCTAATTTAGCATCCAGTTGGCTTCCCCTTGTTAAACCCCAGTGTGTAAGCTTGGTGGTGGGGAGGGTCAGGTGACTTTGGAAATACCCAGTGAAGGAGACAGTACAAGCCACTGCAGAGGGGAAGGAGAAGAAATAACAATGGAGAAAGATGAAGAGAGGAACTGTCAGTACATTGCATTCCAGAGTGGTTAGAAATAGGGGATTAAAATCGTCAGGGGTTGAGTCGTCTGTCAGAGCTAGGGACCAGGAATTCTCAGAGGCCAGAGACAGAGCATCCATCTCCGCTAGAGGGATCTAGGCAGGAAGAGACAACCACTGGTGAGCAGAGAAAACAAAGGCGCACTCTGTGCAGTACATAAATAGAAGGACGTTACACAGATAAAACCTGAAACTAACAGAACAATGCAAGTTTAAAAAAAAACACCACATATAAACTAGAAGTATGTAGCAGAGCAAAACAACAGAGGAAGAAGGACAAACTAAAAAAACACCAAAAAACGGCTGTATTTAGTCAGCTGTTAGTGGACTTTTTTTGTGACACAGGCACAGCAGAGAGATTCTTTAACAGCGAAATATGATGCCAGTAAGACATTACACGACAGCACTGGGATTCATTTACATTAAGTACTAAATGGCACATTTAATTGCTTATGTTGCTAAAGAAGAAGAATCCAAATAACCTAATTTTCTAGGGACCTCTTGTAAAACACCTCAGAGATTGAAACACTCAGAGATGAAGCCAAAGTCTTCAGTATTTCTGGCTTACGGAGCCCCGCAAGGGACATGGGAGAAAAAAAAATTACGATGAACATTTGCGAGATCTCGAAAAAGTTGAATTCCAACAATGACGGCAGCTACGTAGTTGTAATATTACTCTTTCTGGGTCACAAAATAAACTTTAAAGATATTTTGAGGCGTGAATGTAGTTGTGTAAACGTCAAATATCTGCTAAAACCTTTGCATGATCCCGAGTTTGTTTTGTGAGATCTCGCAAAAGTCCGTCTTAATTTTTTTTTTCTCCCATGTCCCTTGCGGGGCGCCGTACTGGCTCATGTAAAAGGAGCTGCTATTTTCTTTTTTTGCCTTCACACTGGTTTAACAGGGGAAATTGTTTCTGTCAGGCAAATGGGTCATTCGTGAATAAAAATGCAGGGACTGAAACATATCAGAAGGAGAACATTGCCCTGTGGCATCTAACGCTGAGATCTCAAACCCATTTAAAGCTTTTAGAAGATGGGGGTTTTACAGCGCTAATGTAATTGTGCCAAATTTGGCTTCAAATGAGAAAAACAGACACCCAGATGCATTATTCAGTGGCTCAGGTGATCCATAGCCTATTGATTGAGCCACATCTGTGCAGGATTTAACAGTGTGTGATCTGCTGGCTTTAGGTGGTTATCACTCTGCTGTGACTGACTGGCAAATGACACAATCACCTGAGTAAATGCACAAGCATTGTCACGTCCTCATACAGATACAGAGACACGTTGTGTAGGGGAGATGGGCAAACTTTAAACCACGCCAGTGAGGCTGCAGAAGCAGACCAAAAACCTGCCAAGCATGAATGAGTGTAAGTGAATGAGGGAATGAGCTCATAGTTGAGGTGGGACATGACGCACTGTGCTTTGGTGGGCAGCGAGGCTGGTTAGTAAGGGGAAAATATTCAATGAAGAAGAATGCCAGTACAAAAATGGTAATGGTTGTAGGGCTGCAGGATATTAAACAGACAGGGATGTCTTTATTTAATAAAACTGAGTTCTTTGGACAGTTCATACTTCTGTTTGCTGCTTTCTAGGCTAAGGCTTATGCATATACTGTAAAAAACTATTTGCCCCCATCCTCATTACTTGTATTTTTTTTACTTCCATGTTTTAGATCAGGAGTGAGGAACTCCAGGCCTCAAGGGCCGGTGTCCTGCAGGTTTTAGATATTACCCTGGGTCAACACACCTGATTCAAATGATTAGTTCATTACCAGGCCCCTGGAGAACTTCAAGACATGTTGAGGAGGTAATTTAGCCATTTAAATCAGCTGTGTTGCATCAAGGACACATCTAAAACCTGCAGGACACCGGCCCTTGAGGCCTGGAGTTGGACAGCCCTGTTTTAGATCATCAAACAAAATGTAATATTATACAAAGGCAAGGAAATACAAAATGCAGTTTTTTGATAATGACTTCAATTAGTGGGAAAGAATGCTATCCAAACCTTACCTATGTGGAAAAAGTGAAACATGTAAGTGTGACAAACATGCTTTGAGTGAATTAAGTATTTGATCCCCTACAACTCAGCCAGAATAACCACAGAATCTGTTTCTGTTTGCCAGTGAACATCTAAATAATTCAGAGAAGGTTTAGGAGATGAATTGAGTTGCTTGGCATCAACTCGAGCTGCCGTGTTTGGAGGAAGAGAAATGCTGAGTATGGCCTAAAGAACACCATCTACCCTGTCAAGCACAGAGTTGGAAACATTATGCTTTGGGGCTCTTTCTGCTAATGGGTCTAGGTTGAGTTTAGCACATCAAGGGGCCTTGTACTATAAAATCTTGGATGAGAACCTCTTTCCCTCAGCCGGGTCATGCATGGATCTTCCAACATGACAGTAACCCAGACCATACCACCACAGTGGCTAAAGAAGAAGCACATTAAGGCCATGGAGTGGCCTAGCCAGTCTCTAGACCTCATTGCTATAGAAAATCTGTGGAGGAAGCTCAAGCTTAAAGTTGCCTAAAAACCAGCCAAGAAACCCAAAGGATTTAGAAAGTTTCTGTAAAGAGGAGTGGTCCAACATCTCAGCATAGATGTGTGCAAACCTGGTGACCAACTGTGAGAAACATCTTACCACTGTACTTGCCAACAAGGGTTTAATAATAATAACTCAATAAATAATGAGTCATGTTTTACTTGGGAATCAAATACTCATTTTACTCAGTGATATGTAACTCAATTATGTAATGTGCTTTTATAAGACCATCATAAAAATTAGAGAGTGTTCATTTCTTTGTAAGCGAGCAAACAAATTCAGCAGGGTATTAAATAATTAGCTTTTTTCTCTAAACTAGGTGCAAACACACCCATCTTTTGATTAATGTTCTTTTAAATGATGACATCACTATCTCTGCTGCCTATTTAAACACTTTATAAAACATTATTAGCATAAGTTAAAACTCTTTATTTTTTTTGATGCACTACAGTCCAACTAACTAGTAAATAATCAATTAGTACACCTTTGTTTTTCATTTTATGATCTATAGTATCCATATTATCTATATTACCTTTATACTTATGACCCAAAGCTCAGTTGTACAATCAATACTTCATTTATTATCGATCGATAATTTGTAGTGTTACTAAAACAAGTGTGTGTATTATATTAATAGCATCAGATGTGACAGTACAAGATAAATATTAGTATTTTCGTTACTTCGTACTTGAGCAGCCCTACATGGTGCACATAGATAAAGACACTACGAAACCACATATGACATGGAGGAGGCGATCCATCAGGGATGCTTCTGGTGATTATTGACCTTCTTGTCGGTGCTGTGCTTGCTGGGCTTGGGGGGCAGCGCGTAGTAGTGGCAGATAGAGCCGGACAGGTTGTCCATGAGACTCATCTCCCCCTCCATTGAACCCTGGATGACCAGGGAGACCGAGTCAAAGAGTGCCCTCCGCTGGACAAACTTGGATAATGCAGAGAGAATAGAGAGAGAGAGCGGAGACAGAAATAGAGGAAAAAAGAAAAGAAAAAAGAAGAAGACAAGGACAGGGGGAGAGTTACATACAAAGATACACGAATAAGTATGGACAGAAGAATGGATCACAAAGAAAAGGACAGTCAGTCAGGCAGAAACAGTTATAGAAACACAAAAGACAAGAGAAACATCTCAGAGGGAACAAATGCTCTCTTGTGGGCTGCTAAGGGCCTCTTACTAAATGACCTGTCGAATCTTTCAAATTGCACAGCAATGTAGTAAACAAACACCTTTAACACTCAAACCCACAAGGGGGCACTACAAGACTGCAGCAGAGCTGGTCTTCAACAAGGCTGGGGAGAAGAGTGTGCCTTAACCGCTCACGTTTTGGGAGAGGAGCATAGGGAAGAAGGATAAGATCTTAGGGAGGGATAACGATAGTGAAACCTCTATTTCCTATCCCCCAAATTTCCCCGTTGTCTGGAAATAGCTGTTGAAGTGAACAACAAGGCCCTGTGGTCCAGCTTTCCCATGGCACTGTGACCTGTCTGTGACTGGCATGTCCTCTAGAGGGATCAGCTAAACACAGACACACACATAACCACACACACACACGTAGCCGTGAATGCACACAAATTGTAAAGCATCCCGATATGGGCCAGCGTGGGTCACACAGCATAATAAATCTGCACAGCTATATTTTCTGGATGTGACTGTGCATAACCAAGAAAGACCCAGACATTTGCAAACTAGCGTCTGATATGCGAGGGAGCTATGTCCAGTCCTGCGTAGTGCACGTGCAGCAGACAAAGATCTTCACCTGAGAGCTTCAAAATATGACAACCGTTTTGGGTACGTTTCAGATAAATGCATCCATTTGTATTCTGAGATGATGCCAGGCTGTCTGGTAAACACAGCCTAATATAGCCATCCCTGGCTTGGTTTATTTATGGGTGGACTACAGTTATTGTACCGAGACCAGTGAAGAGCAAGTAATCAACTTTTTTAGATGGCGTGCCACATTCTCAGCATTACTCAGCGCGAGCTGCTGAATCAACTAATGGTTTGAACCAGAGTTAGAGGTGACGACAATGAAGGGGTCATCTAACGAGCCTCACAGCCTGGCTCCGGTCCCAGCAGTGTCCAAATCATCTTATAATGCACAACAGAATTAAAAATCACGTTTCCAGCTTGGTACAAGCTAATCTGAGTAACTGAATTAGGTCTGTTCTTTTTTTTAATGGGATTATCTGGCAAATAATAGTGATGCTTTGTTGTGAAGTACAGATTAACTTTTTTTTGAGAGACAGAGAGAGAAAAAAAAGATTAGTTTGGCGACAAGATTCTTTACCTCCAGTTGGGGCTCTGTGCATGAAGGGGATTCTGCTCTGATGCCTACAGAGTCTCTGGTTATATCGGCAGTGGGTGAATCCATAGGACCATCCCTTTCCTGCTCTGTATCCACTCCTCTGGGAGACCTCCAGGGGGAACCCCCAGAGCTTGACCTGTCCATACCCAGTGTCAGAGGGTTGAGCTGGGGCGACCTTGCTGCTATGTCCCCCGCTTCCATCTCCAGTTCCATCATCTCCGCCTCCAGCTCTGCCTCCTCCTTGGCTTCCTTGTTGCTCTCCTCCAGGTGCTTCATCAGTACTGCGATGACCACATTGACCAGGACAAACTGAGCGGTCAGGACAAAGGAGACGAAGTAGATGGGAGAAACCACAGTGTTGTAGCAGGTGCCTGTATCTTGGGCGCAGTCCCTCAACGTATCCTGGAAAGACCGTACAGACGGTGGATTTAATAGTATTCTAGTTAAATGTTCTAGTTAAGAACATGCACCTACAGGTGGGTGACCATTCGCAGCCAATGATCATTACAACAGCAAGAAGAACAACTTTGTAAGAACAACTTTGTACTGGTTTGCAGTGACCCCTCACTCAAGTTGGCTTACTGATGGATTTAGCTACTGGATGTCTGCCAGGTGTCACCTAAGCTAATTTTAATCACTGATGTTAGGCTGGTCTGTGGTGTTTTTACCTCTGGGAGCATTTTAAAGTGAATTATCTCACCATTAATAATGCTTCCTGGTTAACTCTACTAACACACCATCCAAAATATCTGTGCTTTGGTTTTGGTGGTGAAGATTTTATTCATGTGTTACTAATTAGCATGAATCTGTGTTTGTTTAAAATCAACTTAAGCTCACAACTTAGCTGTACATCCTCCTATGGCTTATTCAGTAACACTGGGGAATAAACAGGACGGCATCCTCCTTGAGACTTGGAAATATCGGTCATTGCCTTGTAATTGCACTGATTTTTGTTGCTGTTAGAGCATGTGGAACTCTCAACTTCTGGGTGACCTCTTTCGAGCATAAGGCAATCTGCCTGCAAACAACACTGCAACTGCGACTGCAATCGCTCTCAGAGTGCTGAAGGTTTGCAAAAACTGAGTGCCAACACAGTGCAATTATCTAACTCAGTCTTTCTGCAGTAGGAAACTCCACTCAACTGGTTGCATTCTGATTGCAGAGCACTTCTGTCATTTTGCCGTTGAATCACAGTCCTGCAGCAACTACTTCACAATTTGTGGAAGAATTTCTGTTGCAAACACACAAGATTCTGATTGGAACCTGAATATAAGTAGTCAATGTGAATGTTTGTGTATGCAGATGGCAACAGATTTCCATTGTGTGCCACTTTATCAGATAATTGATAATTGTATGTATTTGCTAGCTTGACCCCATTTAACTGCAAACTGATTGTCTTAATAGCATTTTGTCGTTTTCTTAAACAACAAAATCACTTTGAAGAGGGAAACTGAGCTGTGGCAAACCTGGTCCCCATCTTCAATGTAACCATGTCATAGCAAAATTGCGACTTCATTGCACTCTGTCCCAATAAGGTGCGTCATGCTGTGGTCTCCAACCACAGTCCTCCAAACTGTAAATGCAGTATTATTTGAATATAGTCTCATCTGGCTACAAAAATACGATGGCCGCACTAAAGACTGACATCCGTTTTTTAGTTTTTAAACCAGAAGTTGACATTATGAACAACTTATATACAAAAATGGAGTATGGTGTGAAGGTCCCAATGTGATGTTTTTTTCATCCATTACAAGCACATTCATATTGCGGAGTCATTTTAAAACAGAACTGGACCTGCAGAATGTGCAGATACAAAAGAGTGAATGTAGAGTATGAGTGGTCTATGGATCTGAAACTGCAGAGTTGGTTTCACCTTCATTATGCCATTCCAGTTGTCTCCAGTGGAAACTCTGAAGAGCAGCAGAAAGGCCATCCCAAAGTTTTTAAATGTAGCGTAGCGCCCCAGACCCTCACAGGGGTGGAGTTCATCACAAACTGCAGAGACAAAAGGGAAGTGGGAGGAGATAAACAAAAAGAGGATTAGCCAGAGAGTAAAAGAGAATGAAACAAAAAAAGATAGCAGTGTTCATGGCTTTCAGTTGGATTTTCCTATAATAAAATAGTTAGTGTGATAGCATTTTATAGCTCTGAAAGCTTCAAGATACAATTAAGGAGATCAATATAGTATTTCAACAAAGGATTCGAGGAAGCAATTAATATCAGATGAATTAAACCCACAGAGGGGAGAGTTAAATGCTCGGTGTATGCCCGTGAATGACCTGAGTGGAAACTAAGAGATTTAATTTTCTTCTTTTTCTACTGCCTGCACAGTATCTCTTTATTGTGCATGTGTTCTTACTTAAGTCACCAAACAGCTCCACTCCCAGCGCTGCAAAGATAAAGAAGAGGAGCATGAAGAGAAGACCCAGATTGCCCACCTGCAGGGAGACAACAGGAAGGAAGAGAGCGATTAGTCAGAGGAGACAAAGCCCAGGGAAAATAAACCAATAAGGAGGGACAACAAACTTCTCATTCGGAGGCAGGGTAGAATCGAGGATGGTTCTAGAGCAGTTAGAGAAAGTATAAGATAAGCTGTAGTGACTGAGCATTTGTTAAATAAACACATCTCCTATCCAAGCGAATGCATGCTTCAATGATGTGAATGAGTGTCTGACAGAAAGCAGGTAAAGATGGACAGCACCACAGCGTCAGCGCTGCCATCTAGTGCTGCTGACATCACTCACAGCCAATTGTTTATTGTATTCGGGTTGTTTATTTTGTTAATTTGAAAATTAGTTAATGTGTTACAATCTAGACAACTAGCATGATCTGGTTATTCATTTGGAAAATAATAAATTGACAATGAGTGCAGGTAGGCTGTGCATAAAAGATTGGTGTTGCTTTTGGGTTTGAAAAGTTAAGTCAGTGGGGATGTGCCGTAACCTTGCATTCTTTCTGAAGGGGGCAACTCCTCTGGACTCCAACTGTGTACAAGTCTATTGGGGAGTCTGAGTTCATCTCAGTGGCTAGTTTAAGTCTCTCCGAGGACAACTTGACTTTCATTTTGTAAATGATCTTTTTCAAGCAGGCCAGCATTGTGACTGATGTGTCCAGTTTCAAAATGCTAAATCTGAAGGGCTATCTATTTATCGTAGGGTAAATCAATCTGTATGATAATAAGGGTAAATGTGATTTGGTGTTCTCCTGCTCGTACACATATATTAATGCTGACTTGCACAATTACTCTGTTGGTCTGTGCTAGCCAATGATTGTAAAAATGAATTTTATAGAGTTAAGCTAGTGGATCCACCGCACAATTAGAAATTAGCTAGCATTTTGCCATTAAAGAGATGAGAAAAAACAAACAAACAAAAACAAAAATGAACAATGCCAAATAGAAGACAGATCATTGTACGTCAAAAGGTTCCACTGGGCATGACTCTCTGGCCTCCTCCAAAATGGCAAAACATCAGCAGATGTTGGGGTTAAGCCAATAAAATCTATTACATTGGCAACCCACCTTGTGGACTAGACAAGCCATGGATTTTGGTGTGTGTGATTTTACAACTGATTGGTCCTGACACATCTCTTTACCTCCCCAGACTCGATGGTTGTATAATCACAAAATACACTTAAATCTCAAATGACACCATCACAATGTTGCTTTTCCCAGCTAAACTCTTAAGCTACAAAATTACCTAATAAACTACTGAAAATACAAATCTGCACGTTTAAAAAAGCTGGAAAACTGAAATTGAGCGCAATTAACAGGTATGTGATTTCTATGTAAAATCTAGCCTATAATATGCGGTAATTAGTAACTTTCAACCCACATATATATGTGTGTGATGAGTGTCCCAGCACAGAACAGAGCATGACACTGATTATTACACTCTATTATACAATATCATGTTTTGTCTGGTAAAATAGTCTACTTGGTATGCAGTATTTTAACTGTTTGATTATGTTCTATTTTGATTTACTGTAAATTTAGAATAAACTTTTTTGTCCTTTATCCGCAGATTGTTTTGTATTTTCTTTGATAAATCTGTCTTTTTAATTTTTAGTACCCTTAGGGGTTGAATTACTTGGTGGTATTCAATCCTGACTGATTGTGTATTTGTGAGACCCTGATGAAGAGAGAGTCGATACCCGTTGGCCTGTTTTACTTGCTGAACTGCTTCAAGAATAAATTTGTTACATTTTATCCTTGACAGAGTGGCTTAGCAACCGCACCCTTTTTTATATTGAGCTTTTGTTCGCCCTACTGATGAGCACCTGTTGAATAATCCTTTAGAGCACTTTCTTTTTTCCTTTTTCTGATGACACTGAACAAGTCAGATACAGCATGAAAGGAGTATCTGGGGTGAAGGTGGGTTGCAAAGCGGTGTGCAGAGTGCCTTGTGAGAGACACTAACTGAAACAGTCCAAACTGAATCGATTTTAATGCATAAATGGTACATTTAGAGGAGGTGTCATTGATCAATTTGTTTCAACTGGGCTTTCTCTTTTAGATTACATAGTTTTTCTGAGGCTCTTGTCCAAGTCTGCCACTGTGCGACTGAGTCAAATGCCTCTAGAGCCTTCAAGTAGCCTTAAAATTAACCTGTATATGGAGAAAGGACTTCCTAACCAACCCATTTTTATATGCAGTCTACAAAATAAAGGTGCAAGATTGGAATAAAAATAAAAAGAAGAGCTGTAGAAAGTGATAGGAAAAACAAGGGATTAGAGCTTTGAGACAGGGGTGGTTTAAATAATGAAAAGTGTTATGGTTTGCTGCTGTCAATGATTATCAGCATGTAGCAACCTGTTCGCACCTCCACCACCCGCCTATCATCAGATTTATTAATAATGAACACTTCTGACAAGCTCAAGGAGCCTGGAACAACACTCGATCTCTGTGTCTCTCTGAAAAGGAACAACAGAGGTGTTTTGAAAGAACATTGCGAATATAAGACTTTTTGACTTTCTGCAAAACACTGCAGAAGTTGTTCTAATTTACTAACTCTATCACCCACAAATCCACCCACCCTAGGGTTTAAAACAAAAACCTGAAGCTACATTCACTTTCCAATCTCTGCAGGGGGCTTCTAATGCAAATAAGGGTCTCTGGAGTTGAGCAGAGAAAACTCGTGAGAAAGACGACGCCTTGCAGAATCTGCAGCACACACACAAAAAAAGGAAATGCTTTTGAGATGTAACTTTAGGGACAGTTTCTGTGGGATGTGAAATCCATGGAGGAAAAAAAATGCAGATGAGGACGGAAGGAGAGTTTCGCGGCTTTGGTGGGTGTTATTTAGCGGCGCGTACCTGAGGCAGGGCTTGCATAACGGTGTCCAGCAAAGCTCTCATCCCCACCGCCATCTTCAAGAGCTTCAATACTGTGGGGACACGCAAACACACAGAATGAAAAAACAACATCTCACCAATATTATGATTTTTCAGTCTTACATAACAGAGCAGGCCTGCTGTGGAACTGAAAGGACACAACATTTCTCTCACTTACAGTTTAATCCTGCTCTGTTAGCTTAGTCACTAATTTTTTTGTATTAAACACCACTGAGCTCTTAAGACGACATGCCTGAGGTCATATCCCCCAGTGACTCGGTAGGGTTACCAGTATGACTTGAGCACCAATTGAACTACAGCAAGAATGACAGATGATACATTGTAGCAAATGTGTAAACATTAACCCAAGGAATTAGGCAGCAAATGACCCCCCCGACTCCTCCTGGGCAATCGTTCAATACACAGCACAAAAATCAGATTTAAGACATAACACTTCTGTAAAATGCTTTTGTCATCCTAATTTAAGTGATTTGGGATTTATCAGCCAATAAAGACTCGCAACATAAACAGCTTGATAATATCAGGGTATGCAAGGATTTCCAGTCTTCTATTGTTCAACCAGAGGAATGGCACCTGGTGTAGTCTTCTGCTGCTGTAGCCCATCTGCTTCAAGGTTTGTGTGTTGTGCATTCAGAGATGCTCGTCTGCAGACCTTGGTTGTAATACAGACTTCTTTTTGTTAGTGTTGCATAACTGTATTAGCTCGAAGTGGTCTGGCCATGCGCCACTGACATCAACACGGCATTTATGCACAGAGATGCACTGGACAGTTTCCCTTTTTCAGACCATTTTCTGTAAACCCCAGAGATGGTTGTGCAGGAAAATACCAGAAGATCAACAAACCACCAAACCATCGTCCACCAAAGCCACATCATGCTTAAAGCCACTTAGATTACCTGTCTTACCTATTATGATGTTGCCATGTGATTAGCTGATTAAATATGTGCATTAATGTAAAGATAGATGTACAGTCCTGCTAAACACAAGATGAATAATCTAAATAAGCATCAATAGAATCACAGTGCTATCGGGATCTCTTTTAAACTGGGAAGAAAACATGTTATGGAATAATAAGAGATATTTTTTTTTATCTATATCAATTACTCACATATTAACAAAAAACAGTAAACATAGGACACAAAAAAGGGAAATCCCACATTTGCAAAAAAATGTACTTTTATTTTAACCACACACTTTTAACCCACACTGCCAGACATCTGTTAGCTTCAATATATTAGCTCAGCTAACATGACACATATTCCAGTGAGAAACACCACTTTTCTCTGAATAATTATATGGCCACTAATGATGCATTTACCACCGAAAGGCATCTGTCTGCACCTCAGCTGCTACCACTGAAACATCTAAACATATGCCAGACAGATTAGCAAAGCGCTGACCATAACTTGATAAACATTACATCCATTAATCAGCTGTAAAGACAGCCTTGAAAACATAGTAACAGTTCAAACTGCCTCAAGGTGATTTTTCCAAAACAATCTAACTTTAT